TAAAGAAATCGTGTGTGGTTCGACGGCTGAGGGGGGGGGGAGACGGCCATCAGATATTCTTCACGCGTTCGAGTTCAGGCGGAATGTGAAACAAATCATGATACAATGATTGTATAACAAAGAAATTGGTCTATGATCTGCTAGTGGGCAGAATACTGCTGTGGCCGGATAGAATATTAAGCACTATCGACAGGAAGAGCGACTGTTTACCGTAGACAGCTAAGTAACACTAAAACTGCTAAACATGACTCACATGGATCAGTAAGCAGGATCATTTGGTTGCAAATAAAGCAGTGGCAAAATCACCTGATTACATGAAAGTCGATTACCAGTTTAGAATATACATACTTTATATATAACGCCAGCTTTCGCTCCTTTAGGAATAGTTTAGACAGTAGGCAAGCGAGGTATAACACGGTGCCACTATGACAGTCCGAGCGAATGAACAATGAGGATCAAACCTTTCCAAATACCAACTTGATAAAAGCACAATAAGCTTTCAGAAAGTACATAATTGAAAAAAATTCACTCACCAGCAAGCATGGCGAACTTGGCTGCATGCATCACTTGTTCTTGGAACTGAGCGTTTGCGGCAGCTGCTCCGTTGATCGCTCCCGGACCGGAAAGAGGAACAGTGTTGTTCACAGGATTGATCGTATTTGGCCCTGCGTTCGCGGCACCATTAGATCGGCTAGGGCCAGGTGAAGCGGGAACTGGGATTTGAGCACGAGGACTGACAGCACTGGCACCACCAGCCAGCATAGATAAATAGTTAGCAGTAGACATCGGAACGGAATTGGGTCCACTGGACGGTAGTCTGGAGGCTGGGTTGTGATGAGCCGCGGGTGGCTGTGGGGCGTGCAACGACCCTTCAGGGGTTGGATGTTGCAAGCCACGTGGACCCATCGTGTGCGAACTTGGCGGTGTCTGCGTACTGGTTGGGTATCGGAATTGATGTGGGAGTTGAATGGATGGTGTAGGGCGAGTGGTGATTGTATTCACGGCTGAGGTCATTGCGCCGCAGTTCGGTAGTGGTGGGAAAGCATTGGAACTAGGATGGTTTTGAGGGGAAATTGGAAGATGCTCACCACGACGCATAACCAATTCGGCCATAGCAGCGGCTGCCAACAACTCCTGTTGTTGTTGCTGCTGCTGTTGTTGCTGTTGTTGAAACAATAAGTCATGAGGCGTATTGGTATGATTAGCTGGTGCTGGACCTCGGAACTGATTGAGCTTCTCGGTCATAAAACGGCGTAAAGCTTCCGCTTCGCGCGGATCTAGTGCAGTCAACAATGCCTGGTCAGCTGGAGTCGAGAAAAATGCACCCAAGCGAAGGAATTATTAGACATAAGCATACAAGATAATATTGACATAATTGAGGTGATGGAATGCATGAGCAATACGAAGCATTTAGCTATTATTAGAGCCACAGACAAGGTTTGGAGTTCAAAATCAACGTTGTGATTCAAGTTAGGATTCAGGTAGGACCACATTCTTTTGTCGGTGTCTTGCAACCTTGTCAAATGGAATCGAGTGTCCTTAGAGACGACCTAGTCCATATGTGTGAACTTGATCTGTCAGTTTGATGGATCAGTTGGGATCGAACAGGGATATCCGTTCTAATCGGTTTGTCTCAATGGAATACTTTGCAAACGGACAAACAATACTGCTTACTGCGTGTGTTCTTGTGACCTGGCGGATAGACCGATGGAAACACACGTGCACATTAAAACGAACTGTGGAAACAACTAACTGGTCGAGGATCGTCACATCTGTGTTCAGCCCCATCGCACCTACAATGTGAACCATTAGGTCACACTAGAACAGATTAGCCTGGATGTATGTGTATGGG